TGTCTAAGTGATTATCGTTCATCTACTCGCACAGGCCCGTCAGTGCGACTGCGGTTATCGACCGACTGGAGACCTAAGGCCCCACAGAATACCCCGCTTACCAGCTAGGACAACCGCGATTATCGTTCACTTGTTTGCACAGCAGCGTCAGTGTGACACGGCACATGGATCAACCAAATTTCATTCCAGTCAGCGAGACTAATCTTGCGGCTAACAGTTATGACAACAAAAGCTGGATAAAAACACGCCATTGTCCCCTCAGTATTGCAAAAGAAACCTGTGTAGAGTAACAAGATTTATTTGCAGCAAAATCATAAATTGTCGATTGACTTAGTTTGGCTTCCCGCGGGAAATCAACCAATGCGCTCTCTACATCAATTACAGGATCCCCGTAATTCACCTGAAATCCGAGACAAACAACTTGAATTGACCCAGTAACTTTTGTGCTTATCTGATTGAGATAATTTTCGATGCGTTCACTAATTCACATTCACGTTCTTTTTTGTGATGCTTAGATTCGTTCGTTTATCTGAAGACTAAGACTGATATATGATACAATATTTTCAACTAGTGACACTTCTTCAACACCAAATTATAAATAAGCCACTTATTCCCCAAGACGATGCTCATCAATAGATACCCACGGTGTAAAATCTTCGATCCCATGGCATTAATCCTTTAGCGGCTGCATTTCTAATTGGTTCAAGTTGGGTTTGAACCTAACTTAAATGAAAACGTTGGTCAGTACATGCGGATGAACAGATATCCAAGCTTGTTTGACCAGATTCATGGTCATGAGATTGTTCATCTACAAAAGATAAAATATATTTCAGTAGATATTTACAGAACGAACATTCGTAAATTGTAAAGTTTGTAAACCATGCCCTGGTCCACTGATTGTAACATTTAAGAACAGTTTAGAGGCAGCCATGCCAATTTTACATTTGAGAATGCTGCAGCGTTGTTATGACATGGGGAGTTATTCATAATCAACAAGCTAGGAAGTCCTTGAAAAACGCTCTTGCGGTTGATATCACACAGTCAAATTTGGAATAACACAGCAGTGATAACTGTTCTCCAGTCACGCTCAAAAAAAGCAATACAATGACTATTTCTTTGAATTTCTAGGGTTCGAAAACTGTTTATTCTTTCAAACTTTCTTTCTAGATGCTGCGTGTAATATGAAGCATTTTCAGCAGCACTGAAAACATTAGTCGTCATATCCACGGATCAACTACGACTAACCGGCTCGAAATTCGTCCACCGCACTATATAGTACTGTCAAACTTTGTTAGTTACTTTGTAGGACTGAATACTATATCTGTCTGATCAAGAGCGGCAGCAACCTTTGGAATCCTTGAAGTTACCAACATACATTTTTGTGCAATTCAATCACCTTTCAAACGATTCTCCCCACCATGGGAAACTCGCTATGCATTTCCCACACGAGCCAGCAGCAAAACATGCTAAAGTCAGATCATTAACTGCTGTGACATTTTCGCTGGTTTTCACGTGGCATCTTTCCTGAAATGGTCCACCGTTGATAAAATCTCCCATAATCGTTCGATTGGATATCACATTGACAACAGTCTCCGTGAAATCTCAAGTGATCGCACTAGCGCTTGCACATTTTGGCGTCTTGGACCGCTGACAACTATGTGCCTTGTTCACAAGGGTCTTTCAAGTGGTGAATTGCTTCATGTGTGCGTCACAATAGGTGAGACGTCATTAGTTGAATTGAACATTGCCTGCTGGTAAATTGGTGCATCAGTCAGCGACCAAGTGAGAAAGTATCAGGAAGTGTGACACTGCGTAATCAGGACCTATGTGTTTACGACTACGGTTGGTGTAGGTTTGCGGAAAAGTGGGAACATTAAAAAAATGCGACCCCGCATTGGTGCAACATAGCAGCAGATAGACTGTACATTTACAGTAAAAAAAACTCAGACTGTGATTCTTTTCAATCATCATACTGATTGTCAATTTAATTTAATTAAAAGTTTTGTAGTCTTTCTTCTGTCTCAGGCTGATAAACATATCAGTTTCAGTCAGTCTGTCTGTCTGTCTGACCCAGCCCGTTGATTTTAGTGGATATAGCATTTCAGACCAGGCCGCATTTTTATGACTACCTTGTCGGACTGAGTATTATTCAAATTGAGAATAGTGAAATCGTTTCTAGTTTCTTTAATGATATATCCATACTATAATAGTGTCAATGAACTTGAATAACTCTTACAGTAAGAACCGCATTTGATTGACACACTGACCAATACCCAAGAGCGAGTTCAGTTCGACAATGGTTATTTATAGTTTATGTCAGCAATCAGCGTCAGCATCACAATACAGCTAGAGATAATAGACGAAAGTTGTTTAGTTCTGGTGACTTAGCAGTGCACACATGAAGTGAGGATACTTAAGGGTTTTAGAAAATGGGCTTGTTTTGAGGTATGGGAAAATTATTATTATCATCATCATCGTCATCATCATCATCATCATCATCACCATCACCATCATCATCATCAACGTGCAGCGAAATATAGTGAAGCCAACTTTACTGATCGGTGCCAAACACACAATGATACAAGGTTAGTGGCAGTATGTAAGGTGGACAGGAAATTGACCTATTTAGACGAAGGGGTCACCGAAAGTTATTGCTGGATGAGAACACAAGAGTTTTCTGGTGGCTGAAACCGGGAGCTTGTGATTTGGCATGATCAGCCTAAACATTTAGCCTTATTTCTAATCGGGATACAGGTTGCTGGTCTTTTAAGTTTTGTCGCAACGTACAAAAAACGTAGTTCCAAGGGAGTGGTGATAATAGTGATGGATTTAGTGGTCCCTAAGGACGAACAGCAATATGATTTGTAAAACGAGACATTAGTTTTAGTAATATCCTTAAAGGTTTATTTTGTTGAGCCACTCAAGACCTAATGGTAAAAATAAATTTTACCACTTGTTCCTTGCCCAATTCCGATGATCTACTGTCTACTTTGTTTCTGTTTGTAGGTCCTCCAAGTGATATTCAAAGTTTAGACGAAATAGAACAAATTCCACGACCACTGCAAACTCCATATACAGGCAAGTTTTGCTATGTTGAATAGTTAGTTAAAAACTGCTTTGTTCGAATGCAATCAAGTGAATTCCAAGTTTTTGACCGTCGAACTCTTTGGATACTGTATCCCCTTTATCCAATCTATGAGAACAGCGAGAGGATAAACACTCTGAAACGTTTACATTTAGTTTAATCTCCACAGTCGCTAAAACGTGAAAGAATCTGGTAGTATGCAATCAGCCATTTATACAAGAAAGTTTTGATTACGGAAAATAGTCGGGGGAGGGGATCAGTCCCATAGTAATTTGACTAATCGCGTAGCAACTTCGCTGTACACAAAAATGAATTACGTAACATCACTTCACTGAAAGCCAAGAGCACAATATTTATGTTACATAATAACGACAAAAGTGGGCCAACGATGTCTTCGGTTGTGATGAGATGTTTTACGATTGCTGCCCCCTGATTACTCTTATCATATTGACCTCTGAGAGTGTGCTGCGTCATTGACTGTAACCACTATTGGGAATGTGTTCGGACATTCATTGTAATGGTCTGATTCTTTCTATCGGCTTAAGTGTCTTCGCAACTGCAGGTGCACTGATAGAATACATGTGAGACAGAATTGGGCGGCTCGCTCTGCTTTTCGTTGGCCAGACGAAGTCCTTATGTACGCGGTATCACTCGATGCTGTGCAGGGGGAAATAAACATAAATATTGTGCTCTTGGCTTTCAGTGAAGTGATGTTACGTAATCCATTTTTGTGTACAGCGTAGTTTCTAACGCAATCTGATTCTTGAAGTGATTGCTCCCACCCACTCACCCCCGACTATCCGTAGCATCACTATATTGATCAACACCTCGAATAAATACTTTGTTTTACGTTGTAGCGATTGAGGAGATTAAAAGAAATGTTAACCTCTCGGAGTAATCGACTTCTCTCTGTTCTGTCGAACTTTTACCAGACATCGATAAAATTGAGCAGGACGATGTTTCCTACATGTTTATGATTATTACAGACAACAGTGTTAAGGATTATTTAGGATCTTAAATGGAAAATTCTTGACGGTAGTTTTGAATCACTGGCAGTTCGGTAATGAATAACAAGAGTCCATTCTTCTTCTTTTATTCAGATATCTCGGAGTGTTATCTTCCTTTTTGTAGTGCAATCTGATGTGTCTTATTCCATTTTTCCGCATTTCCATAATGCATCGACTTGCAAGTTGTCCTTCTGTTCTCCGGATTCATCGTCCTATGTAATGAAAAATATGAGGGGAAAATAAAAATCACAATAGATTGCAGACATTACATCCCTATTATCTTGTAAGTCTGGCATGATTACTGTGTGCGTTTTTCCTCACCAGTTCATTTCCTACGATTCTAAAGCCCTACAAGAGAATACTCACCAAGAGTTAGCGTCCTCTCTAATCGTCACATGCTGTAGTCCGCGGTTCAATGCCGTTTCATCAGGTGACTTTTCAGAACATGCACCTTTAAAAATTTCTCTCTGGTATTGAATTTTGTATATGGTTATAATTCTGAATTTGCATTGGCCTCAACCCTTAACGAAAAAGGTAGCATTCACAAATAACCTGTTGATATTTTCCCTCACTGTGAATTCATTTCCGACTATACGTTATTCGCTGATAAGCTCGAGAACTTTCTCGTAATTGAGTTAATTATTCACTTACTTACACAGAGAGGTTCACCTTCCTCCCTTTCCCTCAAAATAGATTTGACCCCTGTCCACCTTAAATGTTACCACTAACCTTGTCTGCATTGCGCGTTTGGCAGCGATCGGTGAATTTTGCTTCACTGCTTTTCGCTGTAGGATGATGATGATGATGATGATGAGTTATTCTTTCGGTCGATAATTATTTCAGAAAAAGGTATTGTCGGTGACCTGCTCTACTCGAAAACAAACCCTCATGATCCCGGTTGGATTTCAATGGAACGAGGCCATTTGTACGGGAAGGAAGCCATCAAATCTTTTCTGGAGGCATTCAAGATCAAAGCGATTTGCCATGCGAAACAAGTTGTAATGGATGGCTACGAGTTGTTCTCCGATTCGACCGAGTTGATCACTCTTTTTTCTGTTCCAAACTATCGCGCAAAGTATGCCAACGATGGAGCAGTGATGCAACTGTCAGATACATTGACTGTATCGTTTTTGGTGAGTCCATATTGTTTGTTTTACTCGGCTACAAAGAGATTCAGTTAGATCGTCAAGTTAAACCTGATTTCCGGTTGCGAGAGGGCGCAGACAGATAAATTAAGTGATGCACTTCCAATGATTTTTTCCATTGAGTCACATGTTATGTTCATTGCAGAATCTTCTGATTGCATGAAGTGGATACCGTGTGCATACAAAGCAGACGGCAACTTCAAACGATGCACCGAAGCCACTCAATGAAAGTTTGTCTAACGATTAAGTTGATTAGGAGGATCAAATACGGGCATAATCTTTTTAACGCCAATCGGTCCAACCCGCATCGGTTTCACGGCTTACTAAATGTTCGCGTGATAAGATTACCGTCATGGCTTTATTTGAGAACTTCCTTCGGTTTTGAAGTAAATAAAGCACTTACAACAGTACAAAAAATTGGTTCCGTCTTGTTCTCTGTTTTTGGTTTTCTTTGGTACTTACAGGTCTAATCGAAACTGAAGCAACAGGTCCCTGTGAAACACTTGTATGTTCGTATAAGCAACAGTATTTGTACTAGACTAAATTTTTTTCCAAATAATAACAAACAA